AGTCAGGAGCCATTCACAGGCAGGCTCCTTCACAGTTAGTGCTTGGCTCCGGGCATGTCCCTGACAGCACCAAGTGTGAGGGTCCACACTGAGAAGGAAGCCACGCAAGCCCAGAGTTTATGGCAGACTGGCATCTCCCTGTCAGGGAGCACTCAGACAACAGACACTTGCGTAAACATTAGAAAGAGGAAAAGAAGCCCTTTGCTGCTGAAAAATCACAGTACAAAATGAGCTGTGATCCAAGAGATAACATCTCTTCTCCATACTGCTTGAGGGCCCTGGTGACAGCTCCCCCAACTCAATGCCGAATTAAGAGCCCTGAGGGGCCAGCTCTGACAGGGAGGCTCTGCCAGACTAGGTTTTCTCCAGTTGCAGGGCCTTTGGCCAGAGAGTGTCCACAGAGGTGCCTAGCCCGGCTGACCAGAACAGCCTGAGACTCTTGCTCACCCATGTCCACAACAAAGCTGAACTTCGGAGTCCCTGGGTGGTGCAAATGGTTAACATTCTCACTGCTAACTGAAAGGTTGGTGGTTCGAGTCCACTCAGAAGAAAGTCCTGACCATCTACTTCTAAAAAATCAGCCATTGAAAACCCTATGGAGCACAGTTGTTCTCTGACACACAGGGTCGTCATGAGTTGGACTCCATGGCCACTGGTTACCCATGCACAGAGACAAACTCAGTCAATTCAGGCACCGCCGTCACGCCCTGCAGCAGCCCTAACAGCTACTTCCTTTCTAGCCGGCATCACCCCCACGGCCCGCCCCGCCCCGCCCCCCAGGCTTTGGAGGGCAGAAGGATCTCACAACCCACCTCGGGATTTGGAGAAAGATAATAATACCAAAGACTTGGTATTCAAGGTCCTGCTCAACACAGACCCAGCCTACAAGACCATCTCCTGCCTGGTAATGCTGGCCCCTGCATCCTCCTCTCTCACGTTCCCGACCTCACACCTTCACTCACACTGCGTCTCCTGCCTGGAATGCCTTCCTCTACCTCTTCCACATGGCCTATCCCATCCCATCCTCCCAGACCCCTCCCAAATGTTCCCACTTGGGCAGAAGGCTCCCTTGGGACAATCCCTGATGACACACTCTATCCCTCTGCTCTGTAACGTTCAGTCTAGCACCGTTTTCCTAGTCATTCCCCAGATACACCTCTTATCTTCCCAAAAGATGCTGTTATGGATTGAGTTGTATCCCCCCAAAGGAAATGAGGAAGTCCTAACCCCTATACCTGTAAATGTGACCCTGTTTGGAAATAGGAGTTTTCTTTTGTTGTATTAATGAGGACATGCTGAGTAGGGAGGGTCCTAAGCCTAAATTACTTCTGAGTTATAAACAGAACAGACACAGAGACACACAGGAGAAAGAAAGATGCCACGTGAGGACCCGGCCGGGAGCCAAGGAATGCCAAGGATTGCCGGCAGACACCGGAAACTAGGAGAGAGGCTGAGATCCTGATTGGACTTTTAGCCTCCAGAACTGTGAGAAAATAAATTTCTGTTCTTTCAAGCCACCCACTTGTGGTATGATTTTCTTACAGCAGCACCAGGTAACTAAGGCAGATGCCTCAGGAACTCCCCCTGATTCATCTGGTGAGCTCCTACGCACCTGTCAAATCCCCACTTTAAGCTGTTTCCGCTGGGAGTTTTCTGATTCCTCACCCACAGAGTTGCTTCTGCCTCCTCAGTGCTGCCACAGGACTTTGAGAAACCACATTATATTGTGGTTATGTGCTTATATACCTGCCTCTACTGCTAGATGACTAGCTCCTCAAGACAAGGTTGGGGCCTAATTTTCTGATCATGCCCAATGTTAGCTGCTATGAGAATGAGATGACGCATGTAAAGAATTTGGCACTGAGCCAGGCACATTGAATGCCCTTGAATTGGGCTCTCGTGTTATTCTTCGCCTGTGTATCCTGCTGCTGGGCCCAGAACAGGTGCTCATGAGGATCTGCTACATTGAGTGGAAAGGCAGGGCTGTGCCTCATACACTTGCGGCCTAGCAGGCCCAGGGCATATGCAATGAAAAGAGCTAAATGACTTGCATTGGGAGGAAGTGGGGAGGCAGGGGCCAGGAGGAGGAGGGGGCAGAAGAGCCACAGCTAGACATTGGGGCCCACTCTCCTTGCCAAGAAACCCACAAGCCGCCTGCCCTTTAGACAGATCCCACTTCTGCCGCTGGCTTTCTCCACTCTTGCTCTTAGCTGTCCATAAAGGACATCAGGAGCGTGGAAGCACTTAGAAGATGACCCACCATGATGGGGGCATGAGCCTAGTGGAAAAAATCCTGGGGTACCCAGGGGAGGCAATCTGGCAGGCAGGGAAGAAGCAGGGTGCTCTCTCCCCAGCACCGGGGCAACCCCACCTCCACCAAGACCCCAGAAGAGACACTGGCAGGCTGCACAGAACACAGCAAAGCAAAGCCTGTTCACGTGTCCTCTTCAAACATAAAAGGAGAGGGTCTTTTTTTTTCTATTTGAAAGAGAAACTGCAACAAAGGCTCCAGCCCAGAGCCATCTCCACAGAAGCCCCTCCTGTCCCTGGTCAGTCCTTCCCTCAATCAGCTGCCTCCGTGAAATCTAAATAGCAGTCCCACTGCAGCCTTCTCTTTGTCATTGAGGCACTGAGCGGGAGTCAGCAGCCGCTGGCGGTGTGGGAAAGAATTCAAACAGCATCCTTCAACAGACTTCTGACCAGAGGGGTGTTATGATAAAACAGGTTCCCGTGACTGATGAACAGCCCACCGAGGCACCGCTGATCCACACTCCCCGCCTTGCCCCTGGAGAAGGCCTACTCCCTCATCCCACAAGGCACTGCCCAAACGTCAAGTCCTTTGGAAGCTCTGACTTCCGTGTCCACCACTACCCCTTCCCACACTGCTGCTCTCGGGAAGAACTCATTCCTCTTGCCGGCAGTCCGGCATTTTGTCCATGCCCGTACTGCAGCAGTCAGTGTTGCCGACGAGTGTGTCCCCCAGCACTAGGCTTCTTCACAGAGAGATCCTGGTCTATTTGCGTCTTTTTCCCCCACCTCCAGACATTGGCCTGGAGCATGGCGGTGCTCAAGGACAGTTCTGATGAATGAAAGCACACGTGAGCTCTTCTCTCATCCAAAGGAAGCCCCTGCCTGACTGTGCCCTCCCTGGGGGCCCCAGAGAACACACTACCATCCATTTTCTAGCTTCCTGTCTTCCTCTAGAAGACAAACGTCTAATTCCAACTGGTTAGATTACAACACTAGGGGGTCCTTGAGCTAAGGCAGGTGGTCTGGAAGGGCAGCCCTGGTGTAGAAATGAAACGGCAAAGACAGTGCTAATATTTCATGGGAGAGTCTCCCAACTGGAGGCCTGTGGGCTAAATCTAGCTTGCCAGTGTGTTTTATTGGCTTGATATTATGTAAAATTTGGGAAAACTCACGTAAAAATCCAGATGTCTAGCTTCTATTTAAAACAATCAGAACAGCTGACTATACTGGCCCATTTTCTTACATGGCACATCTGGCTGAAGCTAAGCAGTAGCTGCTCTTTCTAGACAAGCATGTACTCTCTAGTTTGCCACAGTCCCCACCACTCCTTATTGTCATGTACGCAGTCTGAGTCACTCATTACCGACATACTTAATGTCTCTTAGGCATTTGCATTTCAAATCCCTGGACTATGTTCTTAACTTTGGCTGCCAGCACTTTAGAATGACCGATACAGGTTTTAACAAATGCCTTGATCCAGGCCCACGTCCAGACATTTCGATTCTACTGGTCTGGGGGGTAGGGCCAAGGCAATGCTTGTAGAAAAGCTCCTCAGGTGATTCTAACACCAGCCAGGGATGAGACACTACTGGTCCAAGGGACCTGCTGGCTGTGAGGACCTGTCTCCCTTCGTAAAAAGCAGACACCAGGAAAGAAAGATGGGGAAAGTAGGCTGGGTTAAAAGCACCCATAGATGCCTCTGGAGGAAACAAGCCCTGCACCAGGGCCACCACCACCGCCACCACCAGCTTTTCTAGCACAAATGCAATGAGCTCTGTGAGCTTCACTCGGAAACAATGGTCCCTCCTTCCTGCCCTTCTGTTAGACAGCCACTGTACAAGCTGCTTCCCACCCCTGGACTGTATTTGCTAATTCACGCCTCCCTCTCCTTCTGGGCCCTGCCCAATGCCCACACCTCCTCTAGGAAGCCTGCCCAGCCTAAAATCAGCTGTGTGAGAGATGGTGGCTCCAGTCCCTCACACTCTATCAGCATTGTTCGTATTTGTTTCTCTAAACAGATCTCACACCCTTTTCATGCCCCTATCAGATAGAGAACTCCAGAGGGCAGGAAATGCCTCTCCTATGCTTCCTGTGCCCTACCCAAGTTTCCCACCCCACCAGTTCTCAAGCACACAAGTGCCCAGGCTAATGAACCACCCTGTGGGTCAATGAGTAGCAGGGATCCTCCCAGCAGGACAGAGGGACAGTTCTCTGGAGAAGGAAGAGGGGCACTGCAGGGGTTAGTGCATTCTGCTCATTGATCTGGAGGAGACATTTCAGAAGAATCTGCAATGCTCACCTACTGGCATCCTGCCTGTTTCCCCACCAAGCACCCCTGTCCACTTGCTCTGTATGTGCCTGGCAGAGAAATTCCAACATCCCTGGCATCTGTCACTGAAGGACTGAGGAAGCAGCATGGGAGAACAATGCTAGATCAGGGGAGATAAGGGGACTCAATCAGGTCTACTGAGAAATAACGACCCCTGGGCCTCAGGACCTCAAACACCTGCTGGTCTGTTCAGAACAAGGGTCATTCCAGGGTCTACACCCTGGCCCTAGGTCAATCTGATTCATGTGCCAGCCAGAGGCAGGCGTGGTGTTGACAGGGAGGACACAGGCCATCCTCAAGGCCCACCCTGGGAATGATTTCATGGGTCCAGCTGACCAATTACTGACACTCCCCAGACAGAGTCAGAGCCTGAAGGAAAAGGGTGGCCACGCCATCCTGGCCTGTGCTGACCAGGGCCTACCTTGGAGCTGACTGAACGTGGTCATAAACTTGCTGGTGAGGGACTTGAGCTCATTGTTGGCCAGTATGATGAGGTGTATCTGGTCGGAGACATTCCGCAAGACTTTGTAGATGCCGATGGGGAAGGAAACCAGCTTGCACTCGGCCAGGTCTGCAGCCAAAAGACAAAGACAGGCCAGAGTTATTGGCCGCAGAGGCCCAAGAACTTGCCCGAAACCCCTATGGACACCAACCCCATCTCCCTCCCAGCCTCCTTGCCTCCTACCTGTCTCCCCTGTACCAGGCTTAAGACCCTCCCCCCCTCTTCCAGGAGCCCTTCCCAGCAGCATTAATTCACACCTGTCCCTTCCTCACACCCTGGGCATTAGGATTTTTTATAGAACGTTCTCTATGACCACAGGTACTAGCTGGAAGGCAGAAGGCAGAGCTCTGCAGGCACAATAACAGCCTGCCTTCATAGCTGCTTCCTCTAGGCCCTGCAAAATCCACAAGCGATTTGGAATTACCAAAGACTCAACAGTGAAGTCAGTCTTTTTTTTTTTCCCATACAAAAATTTATACATACGTTGTTATGTGACTCTAATTGCTCTCCCCATACTGTGACAGCACACTTCTCGTTTCCACCACTGATTCCCCATGTCCATTCTGCCAGCTCCTAACCCTTTCTGCCTTCCCATCTCACCTCCTGACAGAAGCCGCCCGTTTAGTCTCTTGTATCTACGTGAGCTAAGAGGCACACTCCTCACGAGTATCACTTTATGTTCCACAGTCCAGTTCAATCCCTGTCTGAAGAGTTGGCCTCGGAAATTGCTTTAGTTCTGGGCTGACAGAGAATCCAGAGGCCATGCTTTCCAGGGTTCCTACAGTCTCAGTCAGACCATTAAGTCTGGTCTTCTTACTAGAATTTGAGGTCTTCACCCCACCTTTCTCCTGCTCCATCTGGGACTCTCTGTTGCAGTCCCTGTCAGGGAGGTCATTGGTGGTAGCTGGGCACCATCTAGTTCTTCTGGTCTCAGGCTGATGAAGTCTCTGGTTTATGTGGCCCTTTCTGTCTCTTGGTGAAGCCACAGTCTTAACAGTACTTTACCCTGTGGCCTAGTAGTTAAGAGCTCGGCTGCTAACCAAAAGGTCAGCAGTTCAAATCCACCAGCTGCTCCTTGGAAACCCTATGGGGCAGTTCTACTTTGTCCTGTAGGGTCACTATGAGTCAGAATTGACTTGATGGCAATGGGTTTGCTTTTCTGGGTTTACTTCTCTGAAAACAGGCAATTCACACAGACTTTGCGGTTTGACCTTCTTCCCAGTCCTGACACTCTGAAAGCAAGCCTCCCACAAGAGGCAGTTCCTCACATGGTTAAATATAGAATTATCATTATCCATTGCCATTGAGGTGATTCTGACTCATGGCGACCTCAAGTATTACAGAGTAGAACTTCTCCATGGAGTTCTTGGCCGTAATCTTTACAGAAGCAGATCGCCAGGTCTTTCTTCCATGGTGCAGCTGGGTGAATTTGAACAGCCAACTTATAGGTTAGTAGACAACCACAAACTGACAGAGAGGACACAGGTCATCCTCAATTACCATGTGACCCAGCAATTCTACTTCTAGGTATATACCCAAGAGAAATGAAAACATACGTCCACAAAGAAACTTACACACATATGTGCATAGCAGCATTATTCATAATAACCAAAAGGTGGAAACAACCCAAATGTCCATCAACTGATAAATGGATAAACAAAATGCAGCCTATATATACAATGGAATATTTTCAGCCATAAAAAGGAATGAAGCACTGATACATGCTAAGAGATGGTTAAACCCTGAAAAATTATGCTAAATGAAAGAAGTCGGTCACAATGGATCACATTTTGTATGATTCTACTTACACAAAATATTCAGAACAGGTAAATCTATTGAAATAGAAAGTAGATTATAGTTGCCTAGGGCTGGGAGGGAGTGGCAGAATTGGGAGGTGGCAGCTAAGGGGTATGGGGCTTCTTTTAGAGGTAATGGAAATGTTCTAAAATTGGATTGTGGTGATAGTTGTACAACTCTGTGAATATACTAAAACTACTGAATTGTACACTTTAAATGGATGAATTATATGGTATGTGAATGATATCTCAATAAAGCTGTTATTTATATATATATACACACACATATACAAATAAAGGCTTTATATATATATACTTGTGTGTGTATGCGTGTGTGCGTGTGTGCGGGTGTGTGTGTGTGTGTGTGTCTGTATGTGTAGTAGCAGGGAGACACTGAAAGCATGGAAGCTCAGAAATTAGGCTGTCCAGCTCACTATCTGAGTCACCTAGCTCATCTAAGTCACTTAAGCTCCCTGAGCCTCAGTTTCCTCATCTGTACAATGGGGATATCATCATCTACCTAGCAGTACCATCAGGAAAATGAAACATAATGAAATAAGGGCTACCAAAGTGCCTGGCAGGAATGCAGTCTTATTTCCTCTCCTTCCTCTTTACCCTCCCCCTCCTACTCTACCCAAATCTTCTCAAAGTTTCAAGGCCAGCTCCTGTCCCACTTCTTCCAAAAGTCTTCCTGGACCACCCCTGCTGCTGGTGATCACCCTCCAACCCCTGAGCCTCAGGACCACCCTCTAACTCAGATGGCACTTTCCCATCTCTCTTTCAGCAAACTCTGGGCTTTTCCCCAAAGAGGCTGGACTCTCCCAAGCCTCTAAGCCTTTGCATGTTGTCCCTCTGCCTCGAAGCCCTTCTCCTCCACCTGCCTCACAGAACTTCTCCTCTTGCTTCCTAAGCAGTTAGTTGCTACAGCCTCTGCATCTCATATAATGTGAATGAGAGTTTTTCACCCGGTATTGTATTAATCCCTATGTGTCTGCTTTCCTACTAGACTGGGAAGGCCCCACGGCTCTGTGGGGATCTCACTGAGGTGGTCTGAGGAAAGAAAGGGGACAGGAGGGGCAAGGGCAAAAGTCCAGATGACTGAGGCTCCACAGGACTTCTCCAAGGGTCAACCGTTAATGCCTCCTCAGCTCCAGTGCTGTGCTAGGTGACTCCAGCCCTGCTGCTGCCAAATGTCGGCACTTCTCTGACATCAGCAGGTGAGGTCAAGGGAGAGAGTGCACAGTCTTGTTGAGGAAGGAATGAATCCCCCTAAGTCAGGCTTTCTGTAGAGATCAAAGGCTGAGCTGGAAGTAGACCACCTCTGTGGGCTCAGAGTTTGAGGCAAGCCGGGGATTCTAGAAAGAACAAACTCTTCCAAACAATGTGACCCTAGTGAGCCAGATGCACCAAGGGATAGACAGGAGTTTTTGTTGTGGTTGTTGGAAATTTTATCAGCCCTTTGGGACAGCGACAGACGGATCTCATCCACACATGCCAGAAGCAACAACCAAAGCTTTTCTTTTAAAACAAAGAGCAAAATAAGGATGCTTTCTATCACTAGTATCCCTGAATATGATTTTGGTAGTTCTGGCCAGTGAACTAGAAACTATAAACATTGAAAAAAGAAAAAATGATTATTACGTGCACATGAAATGACCGAATAACCTCTGAAACCAAAGTAGTCATTAACTTAAAAAGAGATCAGAAAACCAATCAAAATAAATATGCTAAATTCAATAATATTCCTATATACCAATAATAAATGCAGTTTTTAAAGATCCTATTGTTAATATCAACAATTATATAAAATATCTAGAAATAACTGTAATGGAAAACATATCTGATCAATATGAAGAAGAGTGGAAAAGTTCACAAAGGTATTTTTTAAAGTAGATTTGGATGTAAAGATATAAAAAGTGTTCATGGATGAGTAGTAAAATATTGAAATGTTGATTTTTTTTTAAGAAATTAACTTACAGATTATTTAATTTAATACCTACCCAAATCCAAAAAGTTATTTTCAGCATGGTGAAATTGTTTGAAAGTCCAACGGAAGGAGTAAGCAAGTGAGATCTCTAAAGAGAAGGTGGGTGATAACAAATATTCTAAAGCTAAAATAATTAAGAGTGGCAGTAGGAAAAACAGATCAAAGACAATACATAGTCCAGAAATAATAACTGAAAATTTAATAAGTGCTCAAGAATAAACTGGGGAAAGGAAAGTTTTAATCAACTGATGTTAGTAAAACCAATTAACAATTTGGGGAAAACAAGAAAGAGAGAGCAAGAGACTCTCAATTAACCTAAGACTAAAAATGAATTCTAGCTAGAATTATAATTCAAATATTTTCAATCAAATTAAAAAATCAGAATCAAATACAATTAAATTTTTATCCAACCTCTTAAGTGACGATGACTTTCTAAATCTAGAAGCCATAAAAGAAATCACAAAGAAACAGATCAATAAACCTGACTGCATAAAAAACATAAAACATCTGGAAGCTTAAAAAAAAAATAGATAAGCCAAGCAACAGGGTGTGAAAAAGGATCTGTAAACAGGATACATAAAGAGTTAGCATTTTTATTATTAAAAATGCTCCATATAAATCAATATGAAAAATAATAATAATAAGACCACCCAAGAGACAAATAAATGGACAAAGGACATTAAGACATCCACAAAGAGAAAATATAATTAGTAAACAAATACATGCCTCCTGATATGTATTGCCAAACTGCTGTCTGAAATATTTATGCCAATTTATAAATATCCTGCCCAACAGGTAATAGGATCATTTAAAAAAACTTAGTTAATACAATCAGGGAAAAAGGTATCCATGGATTTAATTTGCAATTTTTCAATAAAGAGACTAATTATCTTTCATGGCTAATTAACCATTTTTATATCCTCTGTGGAAAACCCGGTTTGTGTCTCTTGCTATTTTTCTATTTGAAGTTCTGGTATTTGTTCTCCCAATCGTTGGTTGTTGTTGTTAGGTGCAATGGAGTCGGTTCCTACCCATAGTGCCCTATGTTCAACACAACGAAACACTGCCAGGTACTGCGCCATCCTCAAAATTGTTGCTATGTTTGCGCCCATTGTTGAAATCACTATGTCAATCCATTTCCTTGAGGATTTTCCTCTTTTTTGCTGGCCCTCTACCTGACCAAGCATGATGTCCTTCTCCAGGGACTGGTCCCTCCTGATAACATGTTCAAGGTACGTGAGACAAAGTCTCCCCATCCTTGCTTCTAATGAGCATTCTGGCTGTAC